TAAACCAACCAATCCAGAGCGTATACTCCAGATCACCTCCACTATCAGGCTTTTATTAAACTCCAGGAGGCAATATTTCTCTGCCCTTATCATCCCAGGGCCAAGTACCAGAAAACTAGAGATAGCCTCCAACCCCCAGAGCCCACTGAAATTATTCAAACCAGCCAGTGCTAATCCTGCTTATGCTCCCTTGTCTTGCCTTCTCCAAAGAAACCACAGTAAAGACTTCTGTCTATGCTTTCCTCTTCCTCCTTCTGCCTCCTGACCCACCCTGGTGCTTTCCTGTGTGGTCCTTCACGGCATGGTGTGTCCCCCCTCCTCTTGGGATCTGTTGTCCTCACCACGTGTGAATAATACTAAAACCCACATTTCAAAACATTATACCAATATCTACTGAAAAGGTCATGCTAAAATAATCACAATAAAGAAAGAGCAGTTAGTCATGGAAGCAACCTAAATGCTCATTGACAGATAAATGGATAAAGAAGATGTGGTACATATATACAATGGAATATTACTCAGCCATAAAAAGGAACAAAACTGGGTCATTTGTAGAGACGTGGATGGACCTAGAGGCTGTCATACAGAGTGAAGTAAGTCAGAAAGAGAAAAACAAATATCGTATAGTAACGCATATATGTGGAATCTAGAAAAATGGTACAGATGAACTGGTTTGCAAGGCAGAAATAGAGACACAGATGTAGAGAACAAATGTATGGACACAAAGGGGGGAAAGCAGTGGCTGGTGGGAATGGTGGTGTGATGAATTGGGAGATTGGGATTGACATGTATACACTGATGTGTATAAAATTGATGACTAATGAGGACCTGCTGTATAAAAAAATAAAATTAAATTAAAAAAAATAAAATGGCAAAAAAAAAGAAAAGAAAGAGCAATTAAAGTCTTTGACAAGGACAGGCAGACGAAGAAGCAGGTGAAGATTGCTCCCAGAGAGGGCGGAATGTCCTGCTTTCCAGCCAATCAAAATGTTCTCAAAAGCCCCTGGATCTAAGCCCCTGCTATAGTAAGTTTAAGATTTTTATATGAGTGGGGTTGGATAGGAGTGGAAGCTTACTATCTCAGGGGACTCAATATTTAGAGATAATCATGGAAAATATAACCATAAAATCATAAAATATGTTAAGTGGTATATATGTAAAATTTAATATTTAGGACTGTTTATCTTTTGAATCACTTAAGTAAAAGTTGAAAAATGGTAAATCTTTTTTCTGTATACACAGTTTTTTTAGAGCAACTTAAGGTTTAAAGAACAATTGAGGAGAAATTATGGGGAGTTCCTATATACCCTCTCCTCCATCTCCTAGTTTCCCCTATTATTAACATATTGAATTAGTCTGGCATATTTGTTATGACTGATAAACCAATATTCATACACTATTATTAACTAAAGTCCACAGTTTATAATAGGGTTCACTCTTTGTGTCATACAGTTATTCAGGGTTTGGCAAATACATAATAGCCACCATTATAGCATCATACAAAATAGTTTCACTGCCCTAAAAATGCCTGTGTTTCAACTCCTCATCTCTCCCTCATTCTGCCAGAAATTTGGCAACCACTGATCTTTCTACTGTTTACATAATTTTCCTTTATCAGAAAAGGAATAGTTGTCATATAGTTGGAATTACACAGTATGTAGCTTTTTCACACTGGCTTCTTTCACTTACCAATATGTATTTAAGGTCTGCCATGTCTTTTCATGGCTTGCTAGCTCATTTCTTTTGATCTTTAAATAATATTCCATTGCATGGCTGTTTATTCCAGCTTGTTAAACCAGTTTGTTTATTCATTCACCTATTAAAAAAATGTCTCAGTTGCTCCTGAATTTTGGCAGGTATGAATTAAGCTGCTATAAACATTTGTGTGCAGGTTTTTGTGTGGACATAAGACTCAACTTATTTGGGTAAATACCTAGGTGAGTGATTGCTTGAATTCATGGTAAGGTAATGTTTTGCTTTGTAAGAAAATGCCAAACTGTCTTCCAAAGTGGCCGTACTATTTTACATTTCCATCAACAATTGCATTGTTATTTTAATTTGCATTTCTTTAATTAATCGCCAATATTCATTCATCAGTAAATAATTATTCACCTATTATGTGGCAGGCTGTCATAGGCACTAAGGATAGAGCAGTAAACAAAACAGACAAAATTGGCTCTCCCTCTGGAGTTGACATTCTAGTAACAACATACAAATATAAACAAATTCCTAACTAGCATGTTAGATGGTAAAAAGCACTATGTAGAAAAGTAAAAGTGTATGTATGTGGGGTTAACTTTTTTTTTTTTGGCTGCACCACAAGGCATGTGGGATCTTAGCTTCCCCGATCAGGGATCGAACCCGTGCCCCCTGCAGTGGAAGTGCAGAGTCTTAACCACTGGACCATCAGGGAAGTCCTAGGTTAGCTTTAATTATAGTGGTCAGGGAAGGGCTCACTGAGAGGTGACATATGAGCAAGGGACCTAAAGGAGGTGAAAGAGAGCTATGCAAATAGCTGGAGAAAGAGGGTTCCAACCAGATGGGACAGCAATGCAAAGGGCCTCAGGCAGAGCCCCTCACCCCATCCCCTGCCCCATAGTGTTCAAAGAATAGCAAAGGCTAGTGTGACCTCATGGGACTAAGAGTGAAGACAGGAAGAGGGGTGACAGAATGTCATGTAAGGCCTTGTAGACTATAGAAACTTTGGTTTTTAGTCAGAAATGAAGTTATTGGAGGTTATAAGTGTGTATAAAATGGCATGAAAAAGAGTGGTCAGCTTGACCAGGAGAGTTTGGGGAATAAACTTTTCATGGAAACCCTCAAAGGAAGACAAAAGTAGTTTCATAAGTCTTCTAAGTTAGAGTGTCGATGAAAAAATTAATTAATAGTCAACCTATGAAAGAAATGGAAAATTTTATTTGAGCCAACCTGAGGATTATAACCTGGGAGATAGTCTCTCAGAGAGCTCTGAGAACTGTTCTGAAGAGGTAAAGGCGGAGGCCAGTATATACGTGATTTTGGTGAAGGGGTACATGAAATCCATCACCTTAGTAGGTTACTGCTATTCGAGAGAAACAAATATCTTAGTTAATGGTTCTAGTGCTTTTCTAAGTGTGAGAAGATGCAAGAAACTGGGTTCATGAAATTTTCTCCTGAAAATATCTAACCGAGGGCCAGTTCTGTCAGTTTTCCCAGAGCACAAAGTGCCTCATCCTGACCTTCGCCCTGAATTCCTTTCAAGGTGTATTAGAGGCCAGTGACTGCAGTGGCCGATGACTTGATTCTTGTAGAACTGGATGGTGGGCAACATTTTTTAATTTTACAATCCCTTCCCTTTAGGTCTTAATTTCAACCAAGTTTTGCGAGGCATTTCATGACCAATCTATCCCGGGGTGCTAGGAATGCTCATTTCCAGGTCAAGCGAGGATTTCGTTGATAAGCCACTCAATGTGCTATGACTGTACTAGACCCTGTTAACAGTAGCCCAAAGCCTCTAGACCATCTGTCTTACTAGTCCGTTGTGGTCCAGGAAATGTTCCCTATTGTTGCTTCTTCTCACATTTAGAGTTACACTATTACAATCATTGATCTTGAACTTCTCTGTCTTGCCTTAAAATTGTTTTCTCTTATTTCATCAAGATTACTGATAAAACCAGTAGAGATACAGGCTGAAGCCTACCATCTTTAGCTTGTTGCACTAAGGACCCACCCACCATCTGCTGCTGTAACAGGTATAGTCTTTTCCCTAGACGCAATTAGCCAGGAAAGAACTGCCTGTTAACCATCTTTCTGGGTAGCAAATTCTGCCTTTAAGGCCTAAAGTTTCTGATTCTGGGAGATAAAAAGAGACCAACTAGGAAACTCCGAGTGGTTGTCCCAACAGGTCAGGGGAAGGTGGCGCCGCGGTCCTCCTCCCCGCCCCCCCCCGCCCCCGCCCACACTGCGATGAAGGAAGGGCCTGAGGGGCGTTAAAGAAAGGTCCGCCCCATTCTTTATTTTTTTTTTAACATCTTTATTGGAGTATAATTGCTTTACATTGTTGTGTTAGTTGCTGCTGTATAACAGAGCAAATCAGCTATACATATACATATATCCCCATATCCCCTCCCTCTTGCGTCTCCCTCCCACCCACCCTCACTATCCCACCCCTCTAGGGGAGCACAAAGCACCGAGCTGATCTCCCTGTGCTTTGTGGCTGCTTCCCACTAGCTATCTATTTTACATTTGGTAGTGTCTATATGTCCATGCCGCTCTCTCACTTCGTCCCAGCTTACCCTTCCCCCTCCCTGTGTCCTCAAATCCATTCTCTACGTCTGAGTCGTTATTCCTGTCCTGCCCCTAGGTTCTTCAGAACCTTTTTTTTTTTTTTTAGATTCCATATATATGTGTTAGCATACGGTATTTGTTTTTCTCTCTGACTTACTTCACTGTGTATGACAGACTCTAGGTCCATCCACCTCACTACACATAACTCCATTTCGTTCCTTTTTATGACTAATATTCCATTGTATGTATGTGCCACATCTTCTCTATCCATTCATCTGTTGATGGACACTTAGGTTGCTTCCATGTCCTGGCTATTGTAAATTGTGCTGCAATGAACATTGTGGTACATGACTCTCTTTGAATTATGGTTTTCTCAGGGCATATGCCCAGGAGTGGTATTGCTGGGTGGTGTGGTAACTCTATTTTTAGTTTTTTAAGAAACCTCCATACTGTTCTCCATAGTGGCTGTATCAGTTTACATTCCCACTAACAGTGCAAGAGCGCCCCATTCTTGAGATGGAGCACAAAAGGGTCACAAATCCTTCACAGAAGCCCCTTTGAGTGACAGGTTTCCGCGCCAGTCGCCAAGGGCTAAGAACGATTTTCAAAAGGGCCGCGCCATGGGCAGGACCCAGGGCACCGCCCGACAGCCGGGGGAGGCGGGGCACCCACCAGATCCGCCCAAAGGAGCCTCCCGGAAGGGGGCGTTGTCGCCGGAGGGATGACGTAAAGGCGTCGCGCCGAGGGTGACGCCTGGCGTAGTTGACGTCGTGCTGAGCCTGTCACCCCTGGGGCTTGTTGCAGAGGAGGAGCGGGCGCCATGGCTGTTCTGCTGGAGACCACCTTGGGCGATGTCGTCATCGACTTGTACACGGAGGAGCGGCCGCGCGGTGAGGCCCGGGCCCCGCTCACCTGTCCGCCGGGCCGCTATCTGCCTTCCCCACTTTGCCTTTTCTGCCAGGTTGCCGTGGACTGGTTGGAGCTTCTGGGCTGATGGTGCCCGCGACTGCGCTGTTTTATTAGCGGGCCTTGGTTGAAAAGTTTTTTTGAGGAGCAGCCCTTCTCCGCATCTGGTGCTGGGTCCGGGTGGCGGGTGCTTGCGGTTATTAAATGGGCGCGCGCGCGTGTGTGTGTGTGTGTGTGTGTGTGTAATGCAGCATATACAATGCCCATAGCTTTTGCGGCTTTACTGCTTTTCACTAGTCAGAGGAACGCAAGCAGTGTTCCTTGGTGTGTAATCAGTATATCCTGATGAAAGCAGGGAGGATGGGCTTGGAGCCGTGAGTGTGGGCATCCCTCGTGGTTGGAGGAAGGGCTGTCCAGAGGTGTGCACCCAACCTTAGCAAACACTCATTGATCGCCCACTATGCGAGACTTTGTGCCAAGCCGTAGAATGGGCCTCTTACCCTTGAGGATCTAATTTTCCATTGGTGGAAATAGGCGCCGCAACCCATTTAATTTCTTAAGCGTTGTAGTGGAAGAATGTGTAAGTTGCCATGGAAACCAGAGGAGGGTGTAATTTTGGCAGGGGGAGGAGAGAAGCAAAGCTAGCAGAGAATTCAGAGCCCTTGAACTAGCTCTTTGAAAAATGAGTGGGAGCGAGGGTTTTCTTGTTTGCTTGGAATTTAATGGAAATAGCAAGTAGATCCGCGTGGCTTGACAGTGGAATGGCCGACTGCGAGTCTGGTTGTATACGTTTTTAGGTTAGGTCAGGTCGTGAATAGCCTTGAGCCCAGAGTCTTTGAAGGGATTAAGAGCAGGATGGAGGCATGGCAGACTTCTTGTTTTAGGACGATAATAAGTAGCAGCGTGGAGAATGTTTCAGAGTGGGGAGAAGCTGGAGACCAGGAGAGTTTAGTTACAAGCAGGGTCCTGCCCCCATGGAATGCAGTCTATGAAAGAAGATGAAACAAGCTGCAATATGGTACCATGAGTGCCTTCTGACGTGCTGCACTTTATCCCACGCTCACTTATCGCCACCCCTCAACACTCAGCCATACCTCTATGCCTTTCTCATACTGTTGCCTCTACCCCGCATTTCTCTCCGCTGTTGTCCTTTTGGCAAAGTTCCTGCTTATTATTCAACTTTCAGATCAAGCATGATCTCTTCTGTGAAACTCTCCAGTGTCCCTAAGTAGAGTTCGATTGGTTTCTTGTGTTCTGTCTCAGGTCTTTTATAAATCACAGTACATATTTTGTTATACATTTACCTATTTTCCTGGAATTAATTTGCAAGTCCTGGGCTCCTCTCAAGAATGTAAACTCTAAGAGAATAGGGACTGTGTCTTAATTATCTCTATATCCTGAGCACCTACTGCAGTGCCTGACACTTTGAGGGCATACACCAAAGGTTCATTATATTGAGTAATGCAAATATATGTGTTGTATTAGGATTCTTTGTGCAAGTGATAGAAACTCAACACAAACTGGCTTAAAGAAAACAGTTGATTGCCTCATGTTACTGGGGTAAGCTTTAAGGATGGCAGGACCAGGGGGTACACAGGATTTTATAGGGAATTGTATTTTTCCTCTTTCTTGGATTTGCTTTCCTTTGAGTTTGACACTCTCCATGTGGAGCAGCACCTGGCAAGTTTGTGGGCCTTTTTCCGTAGAACTATGAGAGACTAAAGGGGAGGTAGGGTTATCTCACCTAATTAACACGGACAAAATGGACAAGCAATGTTTCTGCAAAGATAGCTTGGGACACTAAAAACATAAGTCCACCCTATTTGTATATATTTGTAAGCATGTGATTGGGTATCTACTTCTATATGTAACTACTTATCAATTTATAGTAAATATATCCAGACTTATTTTTCTTTTTTCCTCCCCCCTTCTCTCCCTTCTTTTTCTTTTTTTTTCTTTTTTTTTTGCGGTACGCGGGCCTCTCACTGTTGTGGCCTCTCCCGTTGTGGACGCGCAGGCTCCGGACGCGCAGGCTCCGGACGCGCAGGCTCAGCGGCCATGGCTCACGGGCCCAGCCGCTCCGTGGCATGTGGGATCTTCCCGGACCGGGGCACGAACCCGTGTCCCCTGCATCGGCAGGCGGACTCTCAACCACTGCGCCACAAGGGAAGCCCTCTTTTTCTTTTTTTTTAAACCTTTTTATTATAGAAAACTTGAAACATACACAGAAGTAGAATCATGTAAATGAACCCTCATGTACTGATGATCAGCTTCTGCTTAACAGTTGTGAAATGTTTCATTTATAGCCCCACTCCACTGGATGTTTAAATTTTTTTTCTTTTTTTTTTTTGCTGCACCCCTCGGCTTGGGGGATCTTAGTTCCCCCGCCAGGGATGGAACCCGCACCCCCTGCATTGGAAGCGCAGAGCCTTAACCACTGGACCGCCAGGGAAGTCTCTCTTAAATATCTTTTAATCTGTAGGTTCTCCCCCACCCCATTTTAAAATTAAGACTTTATTTTTTTAAAGCACTTTAAGGTTCATAGCAAAACTGAGGTGAAGGTACAGAGATTTCCCATATTCCCCCTACACCCAGTGCACAGGCCTCTGCCATTGTCGTACCTCCCACCAGAATGGTACATTTGTAATACATTTGTAATGTTTCTACCATGTAACATTGTACATACTTTACATTTGTTACTACAGTGGTACATTTGATGAACCTGTATTGACACATCATTATCACCCAAAGTCCATTATTTATGTTAGGGTACACTCTTGGTGGTGTGCATTCTGTGGCTTTGGACAAATGTATAGTGACATGTATCCACCATTACAGTATCATACAGAGTAATTTCACTGCCCTAAAAATCCTCTGTGCTCTGCCTGTTCATTCCCCTCCCCTGCATCTCCTGGCAACCACTTATCTTTTATTGTGTCCATAGTTTTGCTTTTTCCAGAATGTTATACAGATGGAACCATACGGTATGTAGCCTTTTCAGATTGACTTCTTTCACTGAGTAATGCATTTTAGGTTCCCCCGTCTTGTCATGGCTTGATATCTCAATTCTTTTTGCCTTGAATAATATTTCATTGTCTGGTTGTACCACAGATTATTTATCCATTCACTTACTGAAGGACATCTTGATTGCTTCCAAATTTTGGCAGTTATGAATAAAGCTGCTATAAACATCCGTGTGCAAGTTTTTGCATAGACCTGTTTCCAGATGCGTTGGGTAAATGCAAAGGAACGTGATTGCTGGATTGTATGATAAGAGTGTGTTTAGTCTGGTCTTGTAAGAAGGTCCATATATTATATTGGTTGACACATCTCTTAAATATCTTTTAATCTGTAAGTTCCCCCTGCCCCCCTTTTTTCCCTGAAAAATTTTTGAGAAAGAATCTGGGTCATTGATAGATTTTTCTCATTTTGGATTTGACTGATTTTATCCCTGTTGTATCTTTTAATATATTCTTCTATCCCTTCTATTTCTCATGAATTGCTCCTTAGATCCAGAGCCTTGATCAGATTCAGGTTTAATGTTTTTGGCAAGAATATTTCATATCAGGTAGTCTGTACTTCCAGCTGCATCACATTCAGGAGGCACTTGGTGTCTGGTTGGACCTTTTTGTGATGTTAAGATTGGTTAGTGGTTCAGGCCTGTCTACCTGATATATCTGTTACAGTGTTCCCATTAGCTTTTCACCTAAAGATTTTGGCAACCATTGTTGATCACTACTTAGATTCATTATTTTTGTTTTCTAGTTAAAGGACTACTCCTATATGTTTAACAGGAACTCCAGGAATACATTTTTTTTCCTAGAAAAATGATCAAAAGCCTGATATTCAAGAACCTCCAATAACTTGGCTCCATCTTACCTCTCCAGCTTTTTAATCCTCTATTCCTCTGTGTCACTGGAGAAGTTATAGAAGTTAGACTGGTCTCCTGGACCCTCCCCAAAACATTTAAATTCCCACTTCCAGGGTATTTCATAATGTCTTCCCAGCTTGAAATGCCCACTCTCTACTCTCTGCCAATCCAGTTCTTTTAATGCTCCCTTGAGCCTCCAGGAGGTCTTCTCATTTCCCCAGCCAGAAACAATATCTTTTCAACTTGTGTGGCATATTTAAAAGCACTTTTAAACTTTGTACCATTTAAGAGCACAGATGGTATTATCAGGTGTGCCCACTATTGTAACTATTTGTGTTCAGGTGAAAGGACCCTAGTTTAGTATAAGCTCCTTGAGGGCAGGGACCGCCTCATATGTCTTTCTGACTGTTTGGTTTCTAGCTTAGTGCCTTGAGAAGTTGTTAGCATGTTTCTCTACAACTAGACTGAAAACTTGTTAAGGGTAGAGATCGAGATTTAATGGCATTTGACCTAACAACAGTGACAGGTACTTAGAAGATTCTCAGTCAGTGTTTATTGGATAAATGAGTGAATTTATTTAAAAAACATGGTACATGATAAGTATATGGATTTTTGTGAAGGGCTATTTAATCATTGTGAAAAAAATGGTCCCAGATATTTTGTTTTCTCTAATATAAATAATCTGTACCCATTTTCAGATACTCTGCTAGATCCTTTGCAGTCATAGTGTCCTCTTCATTTTTTCTTTCCCTTACAAAATCAATTCATCAACAAATGATTGCTTATCCCAGATAAGTTTCAGTTTTCTATACAGTTCAGATGCCCAAGAAATCCAAAGAAAAAGAGAATAAAATGATAATTTAAAACATATTGCCTTTTTCTAGGATTACTACCTTTTTCAGTGGCTTTGGACATTTGACCATTTGGGGAAGTTTTTGTATGGTAACTTAGAAATTAAACTATACTAACTGTGCTTTTACTTGGTTAAGAATACATTTGTGAACTACTGTGATAAATTTACTATTTACTTTCTTTCAGCTTGCTTGAATTTCCTGAAGTTGTGCAAAATAAAATATTACAATTATTGCCTTATTCACAATGTACAGGTGAGTTGGTGGATATTAGTCATGTTCTTTGTTATTGGAACTATCTAGCAAGCTCTCTGAATTAACAAAGTATCCTATATATTATAGAGGGATTTTATCATACAGACTGGTGATCCTACAGGGACTGGCCGTGGAGGAGAGTCAGTTTTTGGGTAAGTTCTTTTATTTTCAAATGAGTAAAAATAGAATTGCCTCGGGCTTTCCTGGTGGCGCAGTGGTTGAGAGTCCGCCTGCCGATGCAGGGGACGCGGGTT